AACCATTGAGAGAACCATTTACATGGTTCTTTAACCATTTTACATTCTCGAATGGGAATTGAGAATACCTACTTGACTTCGCGAAATTATGGGGAAAAAAATGAAAGGATAATCTTGTTCGTTATCAACTTTTATCATTTTTTTCTTCTTCTCATTCTTATCTTTCACTTTTAATTAATTGCATATTTTGTATTTGATAATAACTATCGTCCAAAATATTCAACTAGCACGGGAAAAATATTTTATCAAATTGTTGTCTTTATTGTTTATCTTGCTTATTTTAAAGTATGAAAGATAAATAAATCTTTTTATTCACTCATGACGAATTTTTTGACCACCGTCAGAGATAAGATATCCTAATTAATAAAAAAATTGAGAACAAAAATCCCAAAAAAAAAAAAATGGTTAAGGACATAAATTTTGAAAATGAACAAATCCTAGGACTTTGATTTCAATTTAAATGTGGTGCCCATTTACAAAAATTATAGTGCAAACCCTAATAATAAATTGAAACATCTAGGTAAATTAAGATTATTTTCGAATAAATTGAAACTTCTAGATAAATTTAGATTATTTTCAAATTCTTTAGTCGAATGGGTTGAATTATTCTCTAACCATTTCAATTCTAAATTGCAAGTGGAGAATAAATATTTTGTATTGAGAATAATTATTATAAAGTAATACCCTAGTCAAGTCCACACTTCTTGTTTTATTTTTATTTTCACCACAATTTTTTTCAGCTTAAAGATCTCTCTCTCTCTCTCTCTCTCTGTACTTTTTGATTATTTACCAAATTTCAAGTGAAGTTTCCCTGTTTTTATGATCTAGAAAATGTAACTTTATAATATTTCATCATACAAGCTAATTTGCTTTTTAGATTTAGTTTATAAAAATTCAGAATCGTTGTACAGGTATTCCTTATGGTTGGGAGTAATTAAGTTAGATTCCAGTTGAGAATCGCAATCGAATCGAAAATCAATTGTTCTTTGATGATGAAATCATTTGGTTCCATTTGTAGTATTGAAACCGAATCAAAGAACCAAAATCAATTAAAAACATGCCCAGAATCGGACTGAACTAGTTGGCTGGGTTCGATACTATTCTTTTGCCCACACCTAGCAAGGGGACTATTCTAGATTGTGTTGTTAATTTATTGTGTTTATTTTTTCATTAATTCGTTCCTTTGTGTCAAGGAATAAATGCAAATACTGTAGCCAACGCTCTTGCACAAGATGCTTTTTCTTCTTCTTTTTATATTGTGTAGACTAAAGAAACTCCAAAACTTCATTGTTAATCTCGAGATATTAATTCGAGTTTACGATTTACAATAAAAAAATATAAAAACCCTTCTCTTCCCCCATTCTTCTTCTCTTTTTGGGTTTTTTTCTCTTCTCCAAACAAAAGAAGACGGCAGCCAACCCACCCAAATCCCAATTAGAGGTTAAAATTGCACTATCAACCACTAAAATTAATATGCTTTATTTTCATGACATTTGCCCTTGGAAGAAACACAAATTGAACCTCTTTTGCAATCATTTGCGCTTACATTAGTCGATACTCCATACATTTCCCAAAGTTAGGTGAATCAGATTCACGAGAGGTAATAATTTTGGGAAGAAAAAGAAAAGCAACGAGACTTTGAAAGCTATAGTTTAACGTGTCAATAGAGAAATGATTAATTGTGAGAACCCTAACATAATTTTAAAAAGTAAGTTACTCCAATAAATCAAAATTTTTGTGCTTTGGTCCTAAGAATAGTCCAAAGAAACCGGTATCTGATGGATACACAAAAGTGATGAATGTGATTTGACTAGGAAACTATTCGTGTCTTTTTTTTTCTTGGAGCGAACATAATGAACATGTCAAGTAGTTGTAGGATGGCAACAAGACGTGACAGGATGGGGCTGTTGGGACATCCATTATCGTTTTCCATCCCGTTGGATATTTTTATCTTCTTGCCCTGCACCCATACTTGGTTGGAATGGCGAAGCATGTTCTCCCTTGTCCCGCTTACCTCCCCATTTGTTTTTTTTATTTTTTTAGTTCTTAAAAATCATTACTTTTTTCAAATTGTATAAAAATTCATGTTTCCTTTAAAAATGATGATGGTTATTTTCTTTTGAATGATAAAAAATTTGTATTTTGAAATGTGTGTGAGCCACATTATTTTGGAAAAATGTATTTTGGAATAGTAGATTGATGGAGAATGTGTGGTTGAAAAGAAAGCAAATTTTTTGATGTGATAGAAAATATTATTTTATTGAAAAATGTATGGTTGAAAATGAGTAGAAGAATGATAATGAAAATTTTAATGTAGATCAAACATGGGCTTAACGTCCTCATCTCAGTGCAACGACCCTGCTTCATATACCCTATTAGGAGGGAAATCATCATTCCATTCAAGATGGGGACTGCGAGTATCGAGTATAACGAATTCCTCTGTCATGCCTAAGTAATTGAATTTTTGAAGAATATGCTTTGATAGTCACGAGTGAACTAATCTTATCGCCATTCAATTATAAAATTCTCCGTGTTGGACTTTAATAGAATAAATGGAATCGGTATACGAGGAAACATATAAATGATACTTCTTTTTGAAGCAAAAATAGATAATTCTTTTATCTCATGCTGTCTATGTAATTAAAGGAAGTTGATTAATTTATACCACAACATATAAACAGTACAAACCATTTGGCATCTTCCTATTGGCCTATTAGGTATAATTATTGTGGTGTCATTATTCACATGTGAGTACATGTTTGGCTAAATTTAAAAAAGTTACCAACAAGTTACATATAAATAAATAAGTAAATCTTTAAAATAATTAGCTTTCATTTGTTATAGTCAATTCATATTCCTATTTTCCATGCTCTCGAAGGAGTCATCTTATTTAGGTCATGACCTGGACTAGTGATGTCAATGGGCCGAGTTGAGCCGGCTCGTGGCTCGTGGCTCGTGGAGAAACGAGCCCACGAGCTCATGAGCCAAGCTGGCTCGGCTCGTGACTCGTTATTTTTTTATTATTATTTTTTTAAGCTTTTCTTAGCTTTTTTTTTTTAATGATTTTTTCACGAGCCCACGAGCGCTCATCTCCTTAACGAGCCAAGCTCGGCTCGTCTAGCGAGCTGCTCGTGGGTCGCTACAGTACGAGCCGACGAGCCGCTCGGCTCGATTGCCACCATTACTCTGGACAGATTCTTTAAAACTCATTTTTTTTTATCAAATTCATTCTATCAGTAAAATAAATTTGGATGTGAACCAATAATTTTTTCCTAATTTTTAACAACATCTTTCGATTCAATACAGATTCAAATCATGCTGATGTGTCAGAAGACGGATAGTTATACTGATTCGGTATATTTAGACTCCAAAAAATTTACTTTTTAAAAAGTTTACATCAAAATACCCTTATTATTGCTGTGCTGATTACTTCTTCTTTGAATTTACAACACAATATTATTACATGCGAGAAAAATAGTGTTGACAATCTAACAATGCACATCCATGACGTAAATTCCCCGTGAATGTGTCAATCCATCAATCCCAAACTACAAAAAGAAAAAAGACGAAAGAATCACTTTTATTTATTCAAATTCACCAAATTATAATCTTTCAAAGTGCATTAAAATTCAAATTATTTAATCATTTAAAGAATCCTAAGTTGTTGTCTAAGTGCTCATATTTCAGCCACAAAATCTAGGGCTGTTCGTGGGTCGGTTCGATTCGGTTCTGAAGAGATCCGAACCGACCCAAAACTTTCGGGTATTTAATAAATGGACCCATCGGGTCCAAATATAATTATAGAACCGTTTGGGTTCGGTTCCGTTCGGTTCGGTTCGGGTCGGTTCGGTTCCGTTCGGTTCCGTACCATAATTAAATTTTTTAATATTTACAGCAACACTATATAAATACAACTAATGACATTTCATTCGTAACTTTTACAAATTAACGTAGCCCAATTCAAAAACATATAAATAACTAGCCGTCCAATAAGATTAATTCAATGCAAATAAATATAAAAAAATAGATATTAATATTACAGCAACACTACATAAAGTATATTCATTTGTTTCAAATTAAAATGGGCTAATGGGTTTTAAAAATGATTTGGGTTTTAAAATTAAAATTATGAAATAATCTGATTTATTTAATTAATTTGCTAATTTGTTTTGAAAAAAATAAAATAATTTAATTAATTCAATATAAAAAATAAAAAAATTATTTAGTTTCGGTTCTTATTCGGTTTTTCGGTTCTTGGTCTAGACCCGAGACCCGACCCAAACCCGTCGATTTTTGATTCGGGTACCCGTTCGGGTATTTAATTTATGAAGAACCGCTCGGTTCGGTTCGGGTTCGGGTTCGGGTTCGGTCCGATTCGGTTCGGGATTTTTGGACACCCCTGACAAAATCTACAGTAAGATACTAATCATAGTACATAAGTAGTAAACCCAATATCAAGTTCCACCAATTGACTGGTCAAGTAGTGTAGTAAAAGGAAAGAAAAGCTGTATTCTACTTTCATGGCACGGTCCTGAATTTTATGGCTCCACAGCAAAATAATTATTGTTTGGCCCTCGGAGAATTTATAAAATTTGGAATAGTGGTTGATGAGAGAAAGTGTTGTCCAGAGAATTTATAAATTTTGCAATAACGATTGATATGAGAATGTGTTGTTAAAAAAAATGGAAATTTTTAAATTTGGGTGTAATATTATTTATTTGAAGAATGTTTAATTTTAATAGGCGGCTGATATTGTCAAAAATAATTGAGTCCCACGAAAAGGTAAATATGTATATAAACAGTAAAACTAAATCAATTTTGATTCTATCCACCATCAATGCATCAGCCAAATTCTCTCACCCCTACAAATGAAATAGGTCTTCCTATCAAGATTTTACAGTACTGAACATGGAGAAAATCTTGATTCTAGCAATTTTTTTGTTCANTCTCAACCCTACAAATGAAATAGGTCATCCTATCAAGATTTTACAGTACTGAACATGGAGAAAATCTTGATTCTAGCATTTTTTTTGTTCCGAATAATTGTTATTGAGGCAGCAATCGGTGTAGGTGGTGCCATTGGGGTTGGAGTTGGCGACAGCGTTGGCGGCGTTTGGGTGGGTGGAGGTATCAACAACGGTCCAAATACTCCATCAGTCGGCGCTCCACAGGTGTCGAAACTCAATGCGGCGTACAATGCTCTTCAGGCCTGGAAATCTGCAATTACTGATGATCCAAATGGGATTTTGAAGACATGGGTCGGCTTGAATGTGTGTGTGCTTATGAAGGGATTTTTTGTGCAGATTCTCAAGATTATATGGGAAGTTCAACTGGCCTAGTTGTGGCAGCCATAGATCTGAACCATGCTAATCTTCAAGGAGTTCTTGTTAAACAACTCTCTGCACTTACAGATTTGTCTCTTATTCATCTCAACAGTAACAGATTCAGTGGCACTGTCCCTGAATCTTTCGAAGAGTTCACATCTCTTACTGAATTAGATCTCAGTAACAACAGATTCTCAGGCCCTTTTCCAATTACAGTTCTTTACATTCCAAATCTCAAGTATTTAGACCTCAGATTCAACAGTTTTTCAGGGCCAGTTCCTGATGATCTCTTCAACAAACAACTTGATGCAATTTTCTTGAACAACAATCAGTTTGATTCAGAACTTCCACAGAATTTAGGCAACTCTCCAGCTTCTGTTATCAATTTGGCTAACAACAAATTCAGTGGGAACATCCCTTTCAGTTTAGGCTACATGGGTTCTCAAGTAAAGGAAATCTTGTTCCTAAATAATCAACTAACAGGTTGCATCCCAGATGGTGTTGGATTATGGAGTGATTTACAGGTTCTTGATGTGAGTTCAAATTCATTGATGGGTCATTTGCCTGATTCCATATCATGTTTGAGCCAAATTGAAGTGTTGAATTTGGCCAACAACAAGCTGTCTGGGGAATTACCAGATTTGGTTTGTGAATTGAGAAGCTTATTGAATTTGACAGTGTCATCCAATTTCTTTTCTGGGTTTAGTCAAGATTGTGCCAATTTGAACATCGGATTTGACTTCTCATACAATTGTATTCCCGGGAAAGAGATGCAAAGACCTCGACCGGATTGTTCTATGATTCCAGGGGTTGGACTCAGTTGCCTTAGAATCCCTGCTAAGTCTTTGGTTTGCGGGGCACTGGGTATTGGGGCACATCAGACCACAACTCCAAGTCCATAGACTTAGTTGTGTAGTGTTGTGCTGTGCTGTGATGTATTTTTTTCTTTTTTTTTTTCTTTTTTGGGCAAAACAGATTAGTATTGGCTGTCTATCATTAATTGAAAGAAGTAATGATGTAGACCTTCCCCATTTATTGGTTTTGCTTTCACGAAATCTTGTAATATTAGCCCTATGTGGATAAGACATGCCAGCCAAGAGTACTATAAATGAATATATTATTTCTCTCAGTTCAGGATTTGTTGGATACTTATTTTAATATTTTTACTTTTTAGAATGAGACAAGCTCGATTGTCAAGGTTTGCAGTGGTTTAGAAAAATTCTTGCAAAAATATACCAAAATAAGAATAATATTATTAACAGTAGCATCGAAGTCAACTGTCACAATTCGTAAAAAAATGTGATTTTTTATTTTAATTAATTGACAGTGATCATTACTCGACTCTAGGGCCAAAATAATCCACAAACTTCTTTTTAAATTTAGAAAAATGTAAATGTGGTCCATAATATTTGGTATCATAGCGAGACCACTTGAATGTGCGTTGTTGGTTGCAGGAGATCATCGAAGTGTGTTCTTATTTAAAAAAAAAAAAGATTGTGGACCACATATCGTGTCAACAAGCAAGCAAAACTGATGAAGAAAGCTTTAGGTACGATAGATGTGAATGACGACGTTGTGCGAATGGTCTATGTGTTTTGTCAAGTTTGTTTCTTGGAACACATATTGCATAGCACAAGTATGGAGATTATGATGTTGCTTTGACATGTGCAATGGTGTTTTCCAAAAATGTCGCCCATCCAAAGAATTAATGCTTGTGGGGTAATATGATGAAGGTTGGTGTCAATGCAGTATGTATAGAGTTGTTGTGGGTAGATGTGTGAGAGAGCATTGCATGTATGCCTCTTCATGAAAGGATAGTGCTGTTATTATTTTTGCAATCGAAGGAATGCGAGTTGATCCGAAGCTCACTTCGTGCTACAAAGGCACAAGCGGATTCGAATGGGGGAGAATCTCCTGCATTCGAAGGTGCTCCTCTCTTCATACGACACGACTAGTTGTCGACGACTAGGCGTATTGGCTTATTTTACTAACGATTATACTAATGTTATGATCGTACGCAGGTATTTGTCTAACATCCTCCCCATAGGCATGTGTGTGTGCTGCTAATTGTTCGGGCTTGTAAGCCTAAGAATGAGGAGAATGATGCCTTTTAGGTTTGGAACCTTGGAAGCCAAACTCGTGGTCCATAATTCATGGGTTCACTCGAAATGAGCTGCAACAAAATTGGTTGGCACAATCTAACATACACCTCTAATCCATGGAGTAGGCTGAGCCAATCCATATATAAGCTATGGAACCTTGACAAGTGATGTGATATGGCTACGTGCTTGTTTTGCGGTGCTTATAGGTTGTTGATCATATAAAATATTTAGATAATAAGTGATTAATAAGTCGTAAATCTTATAAAATGTGTTGCTGAAAAAATATATTTCATCAACTTAAACTAAAATTTAAGCTTTGCTAAGCATACTTGAGGCCTGAATCAACTCGACAACGTTGGTGGTTTCTTCAATATGCTGTGCATTTACCATTGTTTGGGTTTCATTAAAATGAAATTTAAGAGGAAATGTGTTTTAGAATATTAGATATTTTTTTTTTTTTTTTTACCACATGTGGGTAAAAGATAAAAAAAAAAATTGATTTTTATGAGAAAATGTGTGGTTAAAAATAAGTTTTGAAAAAATGGAGCTCAAACAAATGAGGAATGCAGTGAGTCTGTGACATTAGATGCCGGCTATGTCAAGTCCCTGTTTGATTTCAATAAAATTTAGATTTTTTTTATATAGATTTGATAAAGTTAATAAAATGTGTTATGAATTTAAATAAAAATTGTGGATCCCAGAATATGTGCGATTATAAATGAATGAGAAAAAATGAATTTTTAAAAATTGGGACCAAACCAAGTGTCTTTATTTAGACAATTAGTTTGAAATTTAAATATTTTTTTTAGTCCTCTCCAAACCCCTTTTAAAGAGAAATTTTGGAAAAATAATATTTTGAATAAAGATTTTTCCAAGAACTTGTAATTAAAAAATAAGAAATTTTTTTGGATTTATGTGCATAATATCTTATTATGTAAATGTGCAGTTGAAAATAAGTATAAGAAATAAAGAGTTTATCTCCTATTTGACATCCATTTTTTGTGTATAATGAGTTTCTAAATAATAAACTTTTGGAAATATGCGTTGTTAAAATGTAGAAAGAAGTTGAGTTTACGTAAAAAATATTTTATTATGAAAATGTGTGATTTAAAATAAGTACGAGAATTTTTTTTTTTTTTTTTTGGATTTAAATCCAAAGAGGATGCAAACAGGAGCCCAATTTCATTTTCCATTCGTCCTCTCTAGAGTCTCATCGCATGACATTTTCCGAAATTGGACATCATCAATTAATTTTTCATACCTACCCTAAACCTACGGCTTTGTCAATTGTCATCAAAATCTATTTTCAACAATCTTAAAATAGTGAAAACGCGTCCTCTTTCTTATTTTCGAAAATATGTTTTTGAAAAGAAGTTAAAAATTTACAAAGAAAATCAAAAACCACAATTTTGTCGTTTTCAATGTTTTCAGTTATAATCAAGTCAAAATTTTCAAAACACGTTTTGAGTGTTTTCAAAACAATTTTTCAAAATGTCAAAAATAACACATTTTCAACGATCTCAAAATGAAGACTCAAAACGAATTCAAAACTCAAACACAGAGAGAACATCCCCTAACGTATCTTTCATTTCTGAGATCATGGACCACAATTTTCAGCCACCTCTCACCTCTTCTTCCACTCCTTTTGTACTCTCAAAATCTAACCCATCTCACATAGGCACTGAACCACGGTCCATGGTTTTTGCAGTCTCAACCCACGATTATTTTGTTCGAAAAATTTCTTCGCAACTTAATTTTTTTCCGCTGCAATAAAGAATTTATGGCACAAGTTAAATCATGATAGATTTTTAACCACGATTTCTTTCATCCTACGCAACAATAATGGCCCACTGCACTTGAATAGAGACAACATGTGAACATACGGTATCAAGATTCAAAGCTTTTTCATGGCATGAAAAGGTCTAAAAATAATTACAGGAGCCGACGTGGCTTCTGAGGATCAATGAAGCAGCGAATTACAATTTCATATTACAGAATTCTTCGACTTTCTAGCTGCAGTATTATGCAATTACATACATCGGGTTTGGGAGTTTGAAAGATCGTTTAGCTACTGCAAATCCCGTCAAGTCACTCCATTGATCGCCAGAATTTCCGTGAATTTTGTAACCTTCGTCTTCTAACTGCTTCCTCCTCTCCGATTTATAGATGGTTGCCGATTTACCGTGATCAGAATTGTGCCTATTTCATAAAGCAGTCATTCAACTTCTTGTAATTGTTTCATATATTTGTATATACCAAAGCTCGCCAAAAACAGTAGGTACCAAATACCTACTCTACACGTTTGGTACACAATACTAAATGGGATTAGACAGTAATAATATAGAAAATGAACAATGTAGGAACTCGTGAAATCATTGTGCTACCTCAAGATAAGCCTTTCCCAGTTGCTGTATCCAGCGTACTCCAGATTACGTGCTGTAGCATTCCTTTGAAATTCAGTCCGACCAGTCAATAAAATTATGGTAAACCCAAGTTCCAGAAGCTCCTCGTACAACCTTAAACTTGCAGGTATAGCAGGTGCCTCAGCCATATCCACCCAGTTATCGAAAGAAACTTCATCAAAGATCTCTGATCTGTGTCCAAATGCAGTCAATAAGAAACCACGAGTAGCATTTATCAGATATACCTGTAGCTAACAAGCATTAGCAAAATTAAGAGCTCGTTTCCTCAAAAGAGTAGAAAAGCATAATAACAAATTCTAGCTGATTAACTCGAGAGAATGTTTGATTGTGCTTAAAAGTGAGTCAAACTTGCTGATTTTGCCAAGTTACTGTTTATACTAAAAATATTTACGTTTCAAGTAACTCTTAACTCACTATCTAGAAAAGTAATTTTAAGTGCAAAACATGTTAATTTGGAAATGGGCAACTAACCATGATCTAAGGCACCTCTACAAAAATTTAAAAAGAATTTCTCACGCCTTAGATATGCAAAAACAACTGCAAGTGATAGAAAATTTGTCTAAATCAACAAATAGGATGAACATAGAGAAAAAAAAGTTTGAGACTGGGATTGACAATTGAATGGCATCGTGGCATATGGGAAGTTGGGTTATTTTAATAGACAATTACAATGCTTAAAGATTCTCCATTTGTAGTTACGACAAACAGAGAAGAATTTCTGTGATCAACAAAGAGAAAACTATTAAAATCCACAAGTTGGAACAACTTCCCAAAATTATTCCTTTTCATGAAACAAATGAAACTCCTCAATTCTTTTTCTTTTCTTTTCCACCGGGCCATCTCATTATGTGGACACGATTTCTCTCTCTCTTTCTCATAGGGAATTTAACACAGCCTCTGGAGTCTCGAAGTAAAAATTTCCGACTTAACTCCTGCCACAAAATCTTTCCACCATAACTCCGTCTTCCACAGGCCAGACGCCAAACTCAACTACATGTAGAGAATTTTAGCTGCCTTATTGCCTTCATACGACAACCCATATATGTTCCTTCCGGTGATAAATGTACTCATGGCATTAATGTTAGAAATTACCATACATTTGGGAGAGGTTTCACATCCTAAGAGAATAATGAACACCTTTGGTTATTTAAGATGAAACTGCCCTCGCGTTCTTTTGAAACATTTACCCTCATATTCCTTACTGAAATTCCCCTCCTCGCTCTTTCCCTTATTAACAAAAGTCTGAAATAATCAGTTATATCCATCGTAAATTTACTTTTTTATCATACAACTTTTCAATTAAATTCATCAATGTCGAGGAATCATACTGTTACTACTCCATTGCAGTCAACATACAGGAATTTTGTAAGGAGAACTTCACAACCTCGTCAAGTTTAAGAGCTCCTAATCATGGGTACTTTGGGCAGAAAATAGCATAGCTAATGCTATTAACATTTAAAATGATTATCATTCAGCTTCAATGCAACTTCATCAAGTCATTGCATAGAAATACCCCACAATTTCCAGTGTAATTGATCCATTAAATTCTATGTTGCAGGTTGCGTATGGTGACTTTGTATTGTTCTATTTTTCTGAGTTGGTTTCATATGTCAAAGACCGTTTTAGTGGCAGAAAAGAAGGCTGAAATGTTTGATGCCAAGATTTGAATAGACTCCAAAAAGGAGCTCAATGAGGGCTCCCTTAAAGTTTTCATCAAACAGGATATTTACTCCACCCGAGCCAAGCAAACAGTATTTCACTGGTATCGGTAGTTAAATTTAAACTTAGTGCAAATCCAAATTTAGACAAAGCTAGTCATGACACACAATCATGTTCTTTACAAAATTTTCCTTCATTTCATAGTTCAAGATTCATCACAGGCAGGCATGAAAACGGAACAATGTCACAGAGAATACGGTAGTTTTTCAATACCATGGACAACCAGCAAAATTTATCATTAATTTCCATGGCAGAAAATCATCTCCAGAGTAAGAAGGAACAAATTTTACACGAGGGTGGAAACTGTAGCACAAGGGGGAGGGGGAATGTATGCCATCTACAACAGTTTACCTTCCTATCCTCTTCTTATGTAAGCAAGAATATAAACTATTTTAAAACTACTTATTCACCTTTAGTTAAACTTTTTAATCTTAGCCAAACTAAGTTAATTGTTGAAGGGTCTTACTCTATAAATCAGCATTTTCTTGTAGACATGGTTATCAACAAAGCAACCCATTATCATACATCGGAGATTATACATCATCTATGATTTAAAATGCATCAAGAGTTACCCAAATCCATGGCGGACGTAGTACGGAATGTTCGAAAGCAATGTCTCGTCAACGTCAAAGATCCAAGCATCCTTCCCATCGCCGTGAAGTTCTACCGTCTTCGCATACGCCAAGGAATTGTCAGCCACGGCCTCGGAATCCGACTGGTACTTGTCGCCGGTCATGTAGTCCTTCACAAATCCCTCACATCTCGCCGGAACCTGGGCCCAGATCCCGGCATCATTTGTCTCCACCGTGAACCTCCAGCTCTCGCAGTATAAATCATTAGGGATTTTCGGGTGGTCGGAGATTCCATCGGAGGCCAAGAGGGTTTGCTTTTCCGTCGAGATTTGGATGATTGATTGAGATAGTGAAGTGTATGCAACAGTGAGAATAATCAATAGTCGAAAAATGGCCATGCCGCAAAACCAAGAAAGCTCCTCCTTCGGGATAAAAAGGTGCTTTCTCGTTTTCAGGTGAGACAGACGAAGAAATTCTCGACGGACGAATGAATATTTATAATAGGATCTCAAGATATATTAAGGACGTGTATGGACGTGTTTGTAAGCTGCTTATAATTAAATTTCAGACTGTCGACTTGTGCAACGGCTTGATTTCAAACAAATGGACTGACTTCTGTGTCAGTCCATTTTTTCATTTTCCTCCCTCAATGTCGCATTACATACATCCACATCACCTACCCCACCTACCACACTAATTACTCATCCTCCACACCCACGTGCTTCAGTGCTTTTCCCTTCCATTTTCATGTGTCACAAGATGCTTGTCGATTGGAGTCATCTCAAATGCCCAGCTCCATAAAAATTTTACGTTGAACTCACTCTCCCCCCATTTTTCAGTGGTAGCAGGCAACAATTCGGCTGATTTACGCATCTACTGCACACATCTTCCACCTTCAATCTCGCGTGACCAGGTTTGCCTTCAATCTCGCGATAAAAAGCCAAGTTTCGTTTGTATCCCGATAGCACCTTCAACCAAGCATCACATTTTCAATGGCCATTTTCCGTTTCAGCCGGCGGTATTAGTTTCACTGTAGAGGTAAACCCGCAAAGGAATCGCACCTCAACAACAAGATCTCGCTAGGGTAAATCATGGTTCCGTTCATTTCTTCGATAGGTACACTGCATTCTTACATTTTACATTCAACTTAAACATATTCTCTAACTTTGATGTTCTACTTATGTACAAAATGTAATTTTTCCATCATTTGCTGTAGGCTGGGTATCACCCTCACTCTTCCACCTCCAACTGCCCTCCCGTTCAAATTCAATCGGGGCCACACAATGGAATTCTATGGGACGAACATTTCGTCGCTACCTGCAAGACCGTCATCGTTGACGGACATAGGAATGGACATGCTTCACCAAACACGGCTGGGAAACACTGATTTACTTGTTCAACACCAATTCTGGCCACAATTTGAACAAACAACAGTTCAAAAATCGATGGGATGCCCTCCGCATGAAACATAAGAGATTCGAAGAATTTCTCAACTGCAGTGGCATCTCATAGACCCGTCGACTGGCAAGATTGGCACCTCGGAAGAGTGGTGGGCTCGAAAGATTAAGGTACCATCGTTTCATAAACCTCCAGTCATTGCTCGCATTTATATTCACGACATTAGTTGTTGGGCCCTGTTTTCATTTAGGGAACGTGGCAGTCGATTGATAAATTACATAATCGTTGTCTGTGTTTTGGGTGTTTTATTGCTTTATAGTTATATCTCACTTATCGGAGCTGTAATTTTGCGGAACAGATAGTTCTTAGCCAAGTGCTTCATTGTATGCTCATATTCTACATCTTTTAAAATAGTAAAACTGGTTTTTCATCCTCATTTTTGGAATTATCTTCCCATTTGGCTTCCCTTTTTGTAACTTTTTTTCATGTATATTCATAGTTTGTGAAAACCTTTCTGTTTCTATAGACACGGGAGAACAAATAATTTAAGGACAAAGATTGCCAAGAGGTGTATCGATACAAGGCTCTATTCGGGGACGTTTCGCGATGTTCGAAGACAATGGTCATGAAGATCACCGTGATGAGACCCCAATCGATATGGAGAGCAGCGGCTCAAGCGACGAGGGCGGAGAACCCAAACCGGCTTGTGCAAGCATGGATGTGCCCAGCCTGCACAGTGGGGATAAACGGAAGGCAGCTAGCGATCGAGCCAAGGAGAAGAAGAATAAGATGTTTTCGTCTCGGGAAGTGTCCTACTCGGTGGATCATGCGATCACGGCCAGTGAGAAGGTTGCTGCCAAAATTAACCGCTTTATTGGACTTGCTATGTTGAAACCGAAACATGCACGAAGGAGTTATTGGCAACGGGTCGACTAAAAAAAAACTGATTTGTACTACTGGACGTGCACTTTCCTCTCCCAAAAACGTAATAGGGAGATATTGGACATGCAAGATAATGCGAACAAAAAGTTCGATTGGGTGGAGTGGAGCTAGCAGGAATATAGGAAACAGCCTCGATGACAACTACGTTCGAGTGAATTGCGTGGACACCCGTTTCACATTTTATTACCGTTGTTGGCATTTGGTTATGTTTACATTTATTAAATTTGAGGTGAAAACATTTTCTATTTTGATATGTATAATGGATTGTTGCCTACATTTTTCATGTTCAATCTTAAAACTATTGCTCTTGTGCATGGCTATTATTTTGATTCGTATTGATTTGGAGCAGGCTTGCAAACAATTTCTACATGTGGATGTATGTTATAATTTAGGTGAGAAAAGTACTCATATACAAAGTACGGGTCACGTCACTCACATGTTTCACTATGTTGGAGTGGTTTTTAGCAGAAAAACTTCTAAGCACTCATCATTCCATTTTCCTATAAAAGGCAATGCATAGCAACATAATTTTACATACTTACATAACCACAGTCTTGGATCTCTGATTAATAAGCGTAGGTATGACACATCCGATGTGGAGGATGAACTTGGTGACAAGGCATTTACGGAAGAGCTATAGATAGATATTATCGATTGGTTTCAATACTGTCAAATCAGTGAGGTTACTGTAAGTAACTATTATCGCGAGCGAAGATGTCGTGTTTCTGGATATCCATTCGCTCGAAATGGTTATATGTTCATGCTGGGCTCTATGAACTGTATCCCTCAACAATGCTACGCAGAGTTCCACATGTATCCTGTCATGCTGCAATCATTCGTGCATATACTTCGAGATGAGTACGGACTTCGCAGTCGGCAATATGTAGATGTGTATGAACAAGTGGGAATTTTTCTATGTATTTTAGCATATGGAAAAAGGCTATAGATATGTGCAAACGCTTTTTAACCATTCACTAGAAACTATCAGACACTATTTCAAACTTGTGCTTACAATGGTTATTGAGTTCTCTAGGCACGTAATTAAACCCGATCCAAACTACAATCATGGTGCCAAGCACAACGTTCCGAATCTTAAGAAATGTGTCATATTTCGGGATTGCATAGGTGCTAGTGACAGTATCTACGTTAGAGTCATCCTCCCGCAGGACCGGCGAGTGAATTTTATCGAACACAAAGGAATTTTGACACAGAATGTGCTAGCGGCATGTGATTTTAATTTGTGTTTCACATTTGTACTTGCTGGCACAATAGGGAACTCTCATGATGCTAGAATATTGTCTAGGGCTATATACAACCCAAAGATTGACTTCCCGAAATTGGCACCTGGAAAATATTATCTGGTTAACTCGGGGTTCGCGCATCAACCCGGGTACATGGCGCCCTATAAGGGTTCAGATATATTGTACCACTTCCAGAAATTTTACGACGGGTCACCGGTCGCAGGCGTAACTTTCGAAATGCACGAGAAAAGTTCAATTTCAGGTACTCGTCGTGCAGAAAAGTAATCGAAGGTGCATTTGGCGTGTGGAAAAGTCGTTGAAAAATACTCGATTGTATGCCAAGTTATAATTTTAAAGTGCAAACAGCTGTTGTAATTGCAACTATGGGAGTTCACAACTTCCTTCAACGAGCGGGCGTGGTCGATGAAGCATTCATTAAAGTGTAGATGGACCTCAATGCACTAGAGGTGGAGCTCCCGGACGAACGGGACGAAATTGCCGCTGAAATGCATGCACCGGAAACCTAACGAAATGAGTGAGATATGTTCAGAAATTTCTTGGTACAACAACGTTGACATTTATTTTTAATTCAAAATTAGATTGGGATTGGTCACACAATGTTTTCCCTATATACAAAATTTCCTAGTGTGCAATGCAATTTCTTTCACGAGAAGATCACAAAATATGATTGACTAAAATTTTCATTTTCACGTCAATAACGAATATTGCTAAAAAAATATTACGTCTAAAGTGCAACATGTGAAGCCACAACCTTTGTCAGATGGGATCTCATAATATGTGTATGAATTCATGAATTTTGAGTAGTCCAATAGCTTTTCAGAATTTACAACAGACGTGGGGTTGAAAAAAGGGCAAATATGACATTTAGCTCCCTTTTTTGCATTGAAAGACAAAGAAACACTGCACGTGGGCAGGCTAAAAATGATAGGAAAATCGCTTCTGGATTTTCCACAATCTCGTCTAGACACCCCCCAATTCTAATTTTCTAAAAATTATAAGAATTATGTTATCTCTCCACTGTATGTTATGATCTTGTTTCGCATTTAATTCAAAATTAACAATTTATTTTAATTATACATTTTAAGAAATTCACAATTTTTTAACTATATATTTCATCAACATTTATCAAAATTTACTAAAAAGCCAATTTTAATCATTATCAAACAGGGCTTATATATGATTATCTTGAATACAAATAGCATTATTCATATCAAAATTATCAAATCCTAATTAGATTAATTGATCGGGCCAAGAACTAAGTACTATCGGTGTGAACTGTGCTGGTTTTGTTAACTGGCCAATTCGCATGCTTTTGATCAAAATTTTAAATTGAAGTACTGGGTGAAGTTTCAAACCTTTGATGTCGAGCTTGAATATTAAGCTTATTAAAACTTGACCACTAAGCATTTTTGAATAAATGCTTCATAACAAATCTATGTATAAGACAAAATTTTAATGGTTTATTTTGTTGATCACGTTTTTTGTAATGGTTACGTGAACAACAGATTGTCGCTGTACGTGAGAAACGCCACTATAACCATGAACATTCCCGTTGGAAAAGCTTACTGAAATATTTATTTGGCTTTTCCTTTGAAAATTGATTTATTCTTGAAAAAAGAACAAGTAGAAGCTCCAGCAAGAGATTTGGAGTTGACATTAGTACTTCGATTGCTAATATTTCTTTAAAAAATGAATATATGGAGATAGAGATCCATTTGTAAGATCGGCCGAATGGAGGGTCCCCAACAAAGAGGCCATAAATAAAAAGACTCCATGAAAATGGAGAACCTGCTGAA